CACCCCGAACTGGTTGCCAGCCAATCGCAGGTCTTCGTTAACAGTTGCGGACAAATGCGCAATGGCGTGCATGCTGGCCAGCCACTCGGCGTGCCTCAAGCTGCGAGGAGGCACAAATTATCCCGTCGCCAGTCTGACGCTGACGCATTGACACCATGTCACTTCCCACACTTGTTGGAAGGACGAGGTGACTCAGTCGACGGCAGCGCGGCTTGGACCCAAGCTCGGGGAGCAAATGGCATCAAAGTGTCGCGCCATGCGACGGCAACACCTGCGCCTTCCATTAGGATGCTTTTTCCCCTTCCTTCCCTTTTTTTGCTTCCTATTCTCTGTCACCCTTCCTTGCTTCCTTTTATTTCTTCCCTCTTGTACTTCCTCCTTTCTTGCCTCGCCTTCATTCTTCCCTCTTCTTTTGCTTTCCACACCTACCTTACTTCTTTTCTTCTACCTTTACTTTATGTCCTTCACATTTTTTTCTTCCATCATTTCCGACTTGGTTTTCAACTTGCTTCCTTCCTCACCTCTTGCATGTTCGCATTTCTCTTTTCTCCCTTCACCTCTCCAGTTTTTTTTCTCTCCTTAATTCATTCACTCTGTTCATTCCTTTCTTGCTTCCTTTTAGTCCTACATTCCTTTCCTCCCGCATCATTTTCCGCTTGTTTATTTTCCACTCTTTTTCTTCATTGCCCCCCTACTTCAATGAATCTTTTTTCCATTTTTTTTCTCCATTGCTTCATGATGACCTTATTTCTTTCTTTCTTTTCTTCCAGCTTCTTCCCTTCCTTTCCCCGCCTCTTTCCCTTTCAATCCTGAGAAGTGCATGCAGTGCAGTTGCGCTCGACGCTGGCAAGAGTATAGCAAGAATGCGTCTCGTTTCAGTCGCCGTGTATTTGACCCACAGGCACGTCGAAAGTGTTCACTGTAAGAGCTATTATGTAAGACCCCCGCTTCTTTCTTCTTCTTCGGCTAATCAAAATGGCGTCCTCCCACCGCGCCGCACGTCTCCTTTGAAGCCGGCGGCCTGTTTGATTGGACCCGCTCTTGATTGAATTTGCATCGTGGGATAAGAGGGAGCGCTGATAACCTCCTCTGACCAGGACAAATGTAGCATGGTAGCGTAGCAGCGTGGCGTAGCATAGCCCTCCCGCATCCACCCTCCTTGCAGCCCCCTTTCAAGATTATCTTCTCGACAGCGTCCTTTAGCATGACTTTCCTGCACCGCCACCCATGCACATTAGCGCCGTTTAATGATACAGAACAAATGTTTGCCGACGCTTTGAATAGGAAACGCATCCATCCCTCCTTGACATCCTTCTCCCGGGTGCCCAGAGTTAGGACTGTGGTTACAGAATAATTAAACTCGCAAGTCAAGACAACACTGTAAATCGTCTCGGATAGTTAACATGAGTGAATCAAATTGCATCGGATTTGGAATCAATCGGATCACGATGTATTCTATTGAATGCAATCTTAAATTGCATGAATCACACTTGTCATCAATCATAGATTGTAATTACAGTTGTATCGGACAAGGATTGCATGTCATACCCATCGAATCCATAATACGAATCCCCGAACCCAAAGCCAAAACGCAGAAAACTGCCTCGCTCAGTGAATCCACCGAGAAGGTGACAGCGTGCTTGATGAACGGTTCATCAGCTTTTGCCCTCCCTTATTCTATGAAACAAGGTGCAGACGAAGCGCTCACATATTTCATCAGTGACCGAATCGCCTGGGTGTTAATGTGAAATACTGCTGCCCGCAACACCATTTTTCAAGCCGTCCCGTTATGAACAGCTGACTCTTTAAACCAGCCCGGCGACACGTGACGCAGACTTGCTTCCTTCATCGAGGGATGTCCTCGCACCGAACTGCTCATCTCCAGTCAATGAGATAATTTGCACTATTAAGAAAAAGTTCTTCAGGCTTTTGGGTTTCAATTACATAGTCTAGCTAAAATGTGCTAATGAACTTAATTTGACCTTTTTCAAAACTTTGACTGCACACGTCCGAAAGCCTCAATATTTACCTGATGAATCTATTGTTCCCGTGTAAAAATTTCTATTCCTGATTACTGGTGTGCGAACATCTGCACGGTTATTCCACGTCCTTGATGGAGTACGCCGCAATTAATGTGAGTACGTTGGCCCGGCAGCTTGATAAAGACGCCCGGAATGATTTGAAGCCTCGTATGAATGATTCATGACGCCAAAATGCTAGACGGGCGTTTGCTTCCATGGAAGTTATTGTTCCCTCTGACATTTGTAGGTGATGGTCTTCATCGCTTTAGCCTCAACTGTCCAAGTATTTGGTGCCATACATTTTTCAAGTCCTCTTCTGAGCATATTAAAGAGACTTGCTTGTCTGCCTGTTTTAGCTTAAGTGCTATGGTAATAAAACGTTAAGGCTCCGCCGTGGTGTTTAATGACTTGGATCTGATTAATGGATGAGCGACAGATGGAACGAGGGAGGCCGTTGAGCCCTGTTAACCGAAAGATGTCAAGACCGATGCTAACGTTACCGTGCTCGCGAGCCATGACGGAGGAGAATGTGCTTGGCTAATGTTAGCGCATCAACAACAGCAATTGGGAGATATCAAGACAAATGGTCACTGGCGGCAATCGTGCTTGGCTAACATTAGTGAGCAGTGAAATGAGTGGTCATCGGGAGATATTAAGACAAGTGCTAGTGTTGATATGCAGGAGTGCCACAATCTTGGCTAATGTTCGCGAGCATAGAAAAAAAATGACTGGGATGTATCGGGAATAACAGGTGCAGAAATGAGCGTAAACATGAAACCCTTTTCAGTGGACTCATCCACAGTAGTTGTCTTACTCTAATTCGGGTTATATAGAAATCAGATTGTATTTTTACAGAGCCTGATAAACTGAGGCGGAGATGGAGTAGATGCCTGTGTCATCTGCAGAAAACAACAGTGGTTCCAAAACAGACCTCTGTGGCACCCACTTCACCGATATTCAGTTAATTTGATCGCCAGCCACCACAGCTTGAGTTCTGCCAGCTAGACAGTTGTCAGTCCATTTACAGACAATGCAGAAGTTAAAAGGGATACCATAAAAAGAAAAGGGGCAAAAGAAAAAGGTCAATAAAAAGAAAGGAAATGACAATTGAAAAGAAAGGAAGAAAATTGTACAGTAGTGATATAACGTGTTATTTTGCTCCTGTTTTCTGTCCCCCCCCCTCTTTTTTGATGGAGTCTCAGTTGATGGATTATGGATCCGCTGCGCCTTTGCTGATCAATTACCAAAATTATTTCCAATAATTTTGGCTGTACTGTACTGGGCATTTAATATATAAACTGGTAAAGGTGTCAATTAGCAGGTTCAGTCAAATTTTGATTGCGCTCACGGAGCCTCAAAAACCTACCTTGCTATTGAAGCAGATGGGTGAAAAAGCTTCCGTCACATGACCCCCGCTGCCCCCTCCCTCCACTGGCTCTCCTCTTCCCACGCCTGTTTAACAATCCCCTGAATTATAGCGCAATCGTATTGTAGTTTTTATCGGCGTAGAGGCGGGCGGGGGCTGCGAGGGAACTTAATCCCCTCGCTTTGACGCGTGAATAGAAAAAGCACTCGGCCAGCCTCCGACCTGCAGGAAGTGCGGCTAATGGACGCTCTCCACATACATGGCCAAACTCAAGTGTGCAGGGATTTTGCAGCACTTTGCCCACAGTCTCCTCTTGGCTACAATTTGACAAAATGAGCACACATGTTGATAATTAGTGAACTTATACAGTATCTGGAAAATGCAGTATTTTACTCAACAGTCTCCACTTTGATGCAGTTGACCGTCATTCTCCTTTTGGATGCAATTTGCACAGCTTTTAAGCATTTTTGTTTTATATATATATGTATATATATATAAATAAAACAAATGCCAAAGTAACCTACACACGCTAAGTTTAGGTCAGGACAATGCAGAATTAAGACACCGCAATTACCACTTGGCTGCCCTTAGTCTCATTTTGGATACAACTGGTCTCCTTACTGTGGCTAACATATCAACAAACGACCGACACGAATACCCATACTATAATGTTAGCTCAACTTTTGAACTCCAGCATTAGACTCCACAATCTCCATTTGGCTGTACTTTGGTCTGAGTCCCATCTTGGATACAACTGGTCTCATTACACTGGCCAACATGTCAAAAAAATGCCAAACATAAATATGCATGCAATAACCTTATCTTAACCTAGGCACTGCAGAATTAGAGTCCACAATCTCACCTTGGCTGCACTGGACTCTGGTCTCTCTTAGGTAAAATTTGTCACCTCATCGGGACCAACGTGTCAACAAATGACAGAAATAACCATCCATGTTATAACCTTATCTTATTGTAGATAATGCAGTATTAGACTCTACTGTCCCCACTTTGCCCCTAATCTCCTCTGAGATACAATTGGTCTCCCTCCATGGCAAATAAAAATGGTAAAAGTGAACATGTACATCTCATTCATGATCTCCCCCATGGCCTGCTGCATCCTGTTGTCTCACTGCCCTCAATCTCTTCTTGGATACGATAGACCTATTTATTTTTTCTTCTTGTTGTTGTGGTTATTGTCAGTGTTTTTGCCGTTTTCTGCAACATTATTTGAAGTTGTCACAAATGTAGTTGAGCTCAAAATATTCGGAACAGTCCTGAGTGTGATTCGTTTTGTTTTCTGACGATATTGAGGATTTACAGGTGTAAAGTCCCTGATACGTTTTTACTGCCTTCCTGTATTTGGCCGAGGGACGCGTGCGCCGTGCTACGAGTGGGGCATAAAAGCCTATTTAAATCCCTTTCGGCTGTCATGAGTCTGCCCTGCAGAAAAAAAAAAGCCTGCATGCATGTGCATCCTCTCGCTCCCTTTTTCGCTCGCTCTCTCTCTCTCTCTCTCTCTCTCTCTCTCTCTCTCTCTCTCTCTCTCTCTCTCTCTCTTCCCCCCCCCCTCCTCCGCATCCTCCCTCTCTCCTCCTCCACATCCCTCTTGCGCGCACCAGTAGCAGCAGAAGCGGCAGCATCAAGCGGTGCCTTTCTGATGCACCATGCGAACATGAGCATCCCTCTTGAAGGCTGACTCCCTCAACAATCCACCCCTTCTTTCCTCCTCCTCTTCCCGTCCGTTCGCTGGCTTGATTTGTGGCTTTTTAATTTTTTTCCTCCTTTTGCACCGCAAGGATTGTGCACGCTTGGCTGGGAATTTACTTGGAAGCTTGAGAGTCATCCACCTCCCCCCCTTCCTTGTTCTGCTTCTTTTTTAGCGAGGGGAGTGTATGTGCTGTCACTAATTCCTCCGCACTCCCTGCGCCTTTTTCTTGGGAATTATTCTGCAGTGCTTTTTCTTCTCTCCCCACTGCGGGGGCTGCTGCGTTTTTTTTTTTTTTTTTTGGTGCCCTCTCCTCGTCACTGGGGGCGGGAGGGGGGAGGTGGGGGCGACTGAAGCATCCCGGAGTAGCAGCGCCTGGATCGGAAGTGGCGATGCCCACCCTGTGACTTTGGGGATTACCCCCTAACCCGCCCCTCACCTGAGTATGGCCTCCGCCCGGAGGGAGCGCGGCGGCCGCACGGCGCTCCTCCTCCTGGCGGCGGCGGCATGCTGCCTGCTGGCGGGCACTGCGTTGGCCAAGGTGTGCAACGACCGCACCAAACGCGGGCAGGACAACAGCTGGTTCGCCCGCAACGGTGAGAATTTGCCCATCATGGTGCTCATGCCCATGAACGAGTCAGCGCTGATGAGCAGCATCAGCCAGGGCATCGAGCCCGCCGTGCAGCTCGCCATCCAGCACATGCGGGAGTCCCGGGAGTACAACTTCTCCCTCATCACTGAAATCTATGATACAGAGGTGAGGGTGAGCATGTTTAATACACACAAAATCAAGAGAGATGGCAATGCTCATGTTCCGTTGACATCTTCATTAAACCGTACGCGATGTGCTCACAGCTGTTGATATTTGGCGGAAAAGAATCCCGTTTGCCGATGAAGTGCCCGGTTGCACCTGTTTCTCCCGGTGTATTCCATTGGGCTAACTGGGTCAAATCAAAAGATGCTTCAGTGTGATTTGCACAAGTGCCCGCTGACGTACCGCTCAGATGCGCCGAGTCTCGTTTCCTGTTGAGATGACACGGTTAAGATCCCTCAGAGTGCTTTGCCGATTGAGGGCTTGGTCGCACCGGTTCTGTCGGCATCTGTCATTCAGATGACAGGTTCAAGATGCCGACAAAGTGGTCAGGTGCACCTACTCTTAGATGCGTCTGCCGATGTACTCTGGTGACATGAGCGTTTTCAGACAACCTTGAGTGCTCTGCAGATTAAGTACTTGGTTGCACCTGTTCTGTCGGCATCTGCCATTCAGATGACAGGTTCAAGAGGTCTCGGTTTGTTTTTTGCCAGTGCATGTTGGCAAGTGGGTTCTGATGTAGTGCACAGTTGCACCTTGTCTCATACGGCATTCACACTGGACTCGAGGTTGATGGCGGCAGTGGTGTCTGCAGCGAACGTGAATTCGCATCATTCGCGCGATTTGAACCGGAGAAGAAGAGGGGCTTCCCCAGGTCGATACCAAGGGTATCAACAACCATAGCAACAAGTAACATGAAAAACCTTACTACATATAACGACTTCATCGCCCACCATTCCCCAGGCTTTGCCGTTTTTCGTTTGGTCCTAGTATCGGTCGCAAGAGTTATCAGAAAGTTACGGGTCCCCAAAAAAACTGCGGTTATAATTTCATCTTGCATTGTTCCGCTTAACAACTCAAGTACGTTGTGCATGACGCAATATATTCTTGACGCCGATTGGCTGTTGTGACGCAGTGTTCTGGGAATTTGTGGCTCCGATTGAAATTTTTTTTCGTGACTCAAGCAAATTGGCGAAGAAGCGCATTTTCGCTTGTTTGCCTGACTCGCATTGCGTCAAACATCTTTCGCCTAGCCCGGCACAAATTTGCACCTCTTGGCGCAATTGTCTTTACTTTATATGCAATCATATTGCATCATTGGTTAAATTTGCATTTGGTGTGGATTTTCTTGAGATGACTTGGTTAAAAAAAAAAAAAACACTTTGATGTGATTAGCATAAGTGTTTACAGAGAGTGCTCGGATACAGCTAGCTTTTTAGATGCCCCTCCCATGGAGACGGTCAAGGCACATCTCAGTGTGATTGGCGCAAGTTCCTGAAAATGGAGTGATGCGCCCCGTCTTAAACGCCTCTCCCAGCCAATCCCTTCGAGACGACACAAGTCAAAACACTGCTCGGCGTGAAGTGACTGTCAACACAGTGCACCTGGTCATGTATTTCAGGTGACAGACACCTACATAGAACTGCGTATATCATGCTGACAGTCACATTTTGACATCTTCATCCGAACTGGATGACATGCTCAAATTACGTCACAGTGTGATTTATGCAAGAGCATGCTGACAACGTAATGCACCGATGCGCCATGTCTCAGATACCAAGAGGGTCGTTCCTTTCTGAGACTCCTTTCCCGATGTTCATCGTTAAGATGACATGAACGACCCCCCCCCCAAAAAAAAAATCCTTAGTGTGATTTGCACAAGTGCATTCCAATGACAGGGTACGGGACCTTGAATGCGGCTCGTCTTAGGATCCTTTCCCAATGTTTGCCGTCCGCGAATTAAGGCAAGCTTGGGAATGACTAAACGAGCACTCGGTGTGAAATGAGCCGCTTGCTGTGAATGCCGTGTGGAAGTGTGTGCGGTGCCGCATCAGTTGCCATGCCAACGCAGAAGGAAGGCGCGAGTTGGACTCGTTGATCCATCCATCTGTCGTCTTTGGTGCTATGCACATCATGTCATTGGCCACACTGCTTTTTTTATCTTTTGCGGTCTTTCCAGACTGTTTTATTCTTATGATCTTCGTGTTTTAAAAGTGAGTTATTCTGTGCTATTTTTTTTTTTTTCGTATTTTTGCGACACGTTAAAGCCCATTTCCCCAGGTGCCCAAAATCATACTGTTGAAATCGGGGAGTTTTGAGGAAGCCGTTCTGTCTCGTGCAAAGGAGCCACCGTTTGACGCGTATACAACACTGCAGATCGGGTTACCTATTGGCTCAGATCCGACCGTGATTTCCGTGTAGTTACCCCATCGCTTGGAAACAGTTTTTTTTTTTTTTCCAATTTTAGTCCTCAAAGATAATAAAAACAAAGAATGTGGCTGGAGGGAGCGGCCACTAACTGTCACCCCTCCATCCATCCATTTTCTACCGGGGTGGGGTCACGGGGGCAATGGCTTGAGCAGGGAAGCCCAAACTTCCCTCTCCCCAGCTATTTCTTCCAGCTCCCGAGATGTTCCCAGGCCAGCTGGGAGACAGTCTCTCCAGCGTATCCTGGGTCGCCCCGATGCCTCCTGCTGGTGGGATATGCCTGGAACACCTGACCAGGGAAGCATCCTAATCAGATGCCCGAGCCACCTCATCTGGCTCCTCGCGACTCTGAGCCCCTCCCGGATGACCAAGGTTCTCACCTTATCTCTAAGGGAGAGCCCGGACACCCTGCGGAGGAAACTCATTGGCCGCTTGTGTTCAGGATCTCATTCTTTCGGTAACGACCCATAGCTCGTAACCATAAGTGAGGGTTGGAACGTAGCTTGACGGGTAAATTGAGAGCTTCGCCTTTTGGCTCAGTTCCTTCACCACGACAGACTGATACAAAGTTTGCATCGCAGCCTTGGTGCAGTCCAACCCCTCACTGGAAACGATTCCGACTTACTGCCAGCAACGCAAACCAAACTCTGACATCGGTGGGATCGGGACCGAAGTGGGGTGTAGAGGCTTGGCTGGCCGCTCACTGTGCAAGGTGTTCACTCTACTTGGGATCACAGGTGCGGAGAAAAGGGATGAACATCAAGGCCACCGTGGAGGCAGCAGACAGAGCGTTTAGATGGCTCTGGATCAGGAGGACCGATCTATGGGCCAATGCTGCTGGGACACAAGCTGGGGTCTGATCAACCCTGGCTGGGTCACCTGAGGGAAGACCCGAAACACCCGATGGTCTCGGGCACATCACTGATAATGTGTCCTAGTGCATCCTAGGATGCACGTCACACTCACACCCACAAATGGGTGGGTAAACCGGTAATGACGGATAAGGTGTGGGCAAACTTTGGTGCTCACAATCGAAAATTTGAAACAGACAGATGGGCCAGGTCTTTCGGAAATGTGATGAAAAATGTGTATGTTGCATGGTTCATTTAAATTAATGAATTGTAACAATATTTGTTTGTATTTACTGTGGAATCCCGCATGCTCGCAGTTCAGCATTTGGTGGTTCACATATTCATAGTTTTTAAAAAAAAAAAAAATTTTTAAATCAAATATTTTCAATATTTTTTCATTTTATTTAATATTTTTGGGAAGTTGTGTATTTTTGGGGACCTCCATATTTTCCCATGAAAATGTATCTTGAATGTTTATCAGAGATTTTTGAAGATTTTTTTTTCCCACATTTAAATTTGGGTAATTGAGACTTCATGAAGGGTCTGTCGCAGCTGACTTTTTGCAATTGTCGGGCTGAACAAATAACTCATTTCAAATCAACCTTTATTGCTTGTAGTGGTTAAAAAATATATTGGAGCAAGGCCTTGAAAAAATTAATCACATATTAAATTGCAGTAGTAATATCGACTGGGGGGTTGGGGAATGACATTTTGATTGTTTTCCCAAATCGTTCAGTCCTAGCGCTTTGTGTAGTTTGCGCTCACAGACGTGTGTGAGCGAGCGCTGGGATTTAGCCAGGCAGATGTAAGTAATCAGTCCCCGAGCAGAGGTTCTTTATCCTTTTATCCCCTGTTGGTGGAGCCACGGGTCGAGCCGGCAGGGCCTGCTCGATTCTCCCGGAGGGGTTCCGATGAAGGCGATGATGTGTGCTGTAGTTAGAGGAGCATGCACTTCTGTTTTGTTTTTGTTTTTTTTTGTTTTTTTGGGGGCCAGGTAGAGGAGGAGAAGTAGTGGATTATAGAGGCGCTGCTTCTCCATCTGAGGACTGATACTGTAGCCGGGTGGGCTTAGTGGATCAAGGCTTTGGATGTCGGGGGGGGAAACAAGAGTTTCCTGGTGCTAAGCTAGCACATAGGCTAGTGAATGCCGTGTGAAAGTGTGTGGTCAATAGTCACACAAACAGAGACGCTTTCCATTGATGAACCATTGCGGCAAGTGTCAACAAAGGGGCTAGGTGGTCGGAAACGAAGAATAGATACATGGACATGCTTTTTTTTTTTTTTTTTTAAGGCTCACCACGCACGATTTTTTCGCGTGTAAGTCGCAATTAGTCCTGTTAAAATAAAGTGTATACATTTGCCAGCATTTGATGATCCTCGACAGTCGGCTTGCGATAAATTTCATTGTAAGCTTCAAGTTTTCCACGTAGCTCCTGGCGCAAGTGGTTATTTTGGTTGAGCTAACGTCATGGCTAACGTCAATTCATTAGCTTGTGTGTATCATCAAATATTAAAAGTAGATTAAGGCACGTGAAATAAACCGTACAGCATTAAAATGCTGATAAGTTTTTGAGGTGTTTGAAAAACATTACTGATGCATTGTAATTTTGGCCACTGCTCAGAATGAAATATCAAAAGGCTTCGATGCAGGGTGACGTGTGGTTAATAAGTTCTTAAAATGTGCATTATTTCTTTAGACATTTACAGATATTTATTGGGCGGCTCGGTGGTCCAGTGGTTAGCGCGTCAACCTCACAGTGCAGTGGTACCGGGTTCAATTCCAGCTCCAGCCTCCCTGTGTGGAGTTTGCATGTTCTCCCTGGGCTTGCGTGGGTTTTCTCCGGGTACTCCGGTTTCCTCCAAAATTCCAATGGCAGGCTGATTGAA